TCGTAGATCATCGGAAAACCTTCAGAAGGGTGCACCCAAGAACAACCGGATGTACCCTAAAAACCACCATTAACCTTGCCTGTTGTCATAGCTCGAGACAAGAAGAGTTTGCCCTCTTGTTTTCAGAAAATAAGCGAAAAGGATATGATGGTAAGGAGGAGTTGTAGGTTTTTACCGCATCACGAACGGATTAATGAGGTGCGAAAAAGAATTTTTAATAAAGTATCGTTCGTCTCAACGGAGGGGTTTTGATTGAAGTGGACTCTAGCTTCACCTCGGAACACTTCACAGTCCAAGTTCAACAGGAATTGGAATTCCTGTGTGTAAAACTGGTTCTTCTCGCTTTCGCTATATTCATTACTTGCTCGTATATTCCACCTTCTTCGGATATCTCTATTTATGAGCAGCACTTGTCCGCTTTAACCGCTGTTTCTTCCTCGCTATTAGATAAAGATCATATGATAGTTTGGTCTTCGGTAAACGAGTCTAGTAATCTAGTGCCCATGTCACGATATTTCTTTGTTGACGGCTTGCTTGACCTGTCCCTGTCATGTGAAAAATTCCTTTGGTCGATTGCTTGATCTATGCTTTGTATCGGATCCGACCATAGTGTTGTTAACCCGAGCCCTTCCGCTCTCTATACCTGAAGACGCCTACCACCCTACTTTCGAGGTGTCGCTAGATATAGGACCAACTGTATTGGATCGGTCGAGTAGACTACCTGAACGTATCCGCTGCTTTCGTAAAGCCGAGTTTGCGAAGCTTAATAACCTCATTAGGGATTTTAGTTGGTCAGCTTTGTACTTTTTCACTGATGTCATAAAAGGCACAAACATTTTTTACAATGCTCTTGGCACATTTTTTTAATCCTTGTGTCCCGCTTTCTCGTCCGATTAGATCTGGAAAACCCCCTTGGTTTACCAAAAAGTTATCAAGTCTAAAAAACTTTAAATCAAGACTTTATAACAAATTTCAAGAAGTGGGTTCTCCTACTTCTCACTCTCGCTATGTAATAGCTCGGTCAAACTTTTCAGTTCTTAATGCTCAATCCTATAAAAACTACCTATCTCGATGCAGGAGACGTTTTTCTCAGGACCCTAAACAGTTTTACTGCTTCGTAAACAGTAAGCGTAGAATGTCCGCACACCCATCCTCGCTATAATTTTGTAATACGTCGGCAAAAAATGATCCGGCGATCTTTTTGCTCAATTTTTCCTAACCACATGTTCTGAGGAAAGCTACTCTGGTCATCCAAGAGTACTCTTTCCCAAGACAGGGAAAGCCTCGCACTGAACTGCAAAATACTTTAGACCAATCAGCCTATCGTCCTTCCTCCTCAAAACCTTTGAGAGACTTTTCGGGCTGCTACTGAGGACAACTATACAACCTCAGTTGCTATACGGCGCACAGCATGCCTACCGGAAAGGAAAATCAACAGAAACGGCGCTTTCTGAAGTAACCTCAGCGGTAGAGTATCTCAAAGAGTACTCACTTATAGCCTTGCTCGATATTGAGGGAGCCTTCAACAACGTTATGCCGGGCGCCTTTACAGAAGCCCTGTCTAACCTTGGGGTGGACCGTCACTTGGTCAATTGCTCATATGCAGGATGGTGACATTATCGATGGGATCGTCCGCTCAGTCAAGGTATGTCAACAGAGGACATATGTCCTGTCTTCTCTTCTGTGGAACATAGCAGTCAACAAGATTATATGCGACCTGGAAGGGGCGGCCTGCAAAATCGTGCCCTATGCGGACGACGCACAGTGGGCGAATCGGCCAACCTAGCGGCATTAAATTAATAACAAGCTAAAATTAATAACAAGCTTAATTTAAGAGATATCTTAATCTTAACAGGAGTTTAACATGATTTTTATTAGCCGGATGACTGTACAAAATTTCAGTAGAATCGGTCAACTATATAGAGACGATAGAACCGATCGGTTAAAATATTTTAAGATTTTAAAATACCAAATCACAGATAATTTTATGCACCAAAACTCCACAGCATGTGTATAAAACCAATACTAAATCAGGTAATACTGCTTCAGGTTAAACAATTTTTTTCTGAAAATAGTGTAATAGATGTATTAAAAAATATATATATTTATTTGGTATCGGAACTATCCGAACATAGAACATCTTGTTTGGACGTTGACATGCAATGACTGCATCTTTCAAGAGGCGATGCAGCTACTGCACCGTCAAGTGGCCCGTGTGAAACCAGCAGAAGGCTGTTACGCGAGCATGCAGGAAAGATAGCTGTTAGACTAATATTCGAGGAAGATTTGCACGAAAGTTTCTAAGAGAACTTCTTCGAAGTTAAAATCTAATAGCAAATCTTTAACTTCCTTATCCAACTCCATATTTTCATTGGAAAGCTTTGATAAATTTGAAATCAAAGGATCAGATGTTGTTCGGAGCAGCAGCCGTTAATAGCTCTTAAGTCACGTCTCTGTTTCTGTTATCGCGCTCAGCCTATGTACGCTCTCAGTGCATACACGCACACACCTACAAATTTATTGCTTATTATAAGCCACTGCTTCAACCCTTCCTTCTCACTAGTCGGTCGTTCCTAATCGAAGCAGTCGGTCTGCAGTACTCTTTGTCGCCCAAAACGCCTAACACCTAAATATAAGTCCCAGGCCACGACCTCGACAAAAAAAAAAAACACAAACAATACCAACAATAAACGTCGAACTGTAGCCTTAAAACGGAGCAATTATTTTCTTGTAAATTTTGGAGTCAGGATTGCCGAATTAAGTCTTCCATCATATGTCGAAAACCTTGGCAAGCCATTGACAAGAAGCGCACCTACGAGCTCTGCAAGCTAGGCAAGATACGGTTCAGCGTAGGCCTCACAGGTCACACAGTTCCCTCACAGGACACTGGCTAATAGGCACTTACGCTAACAGGCTGGGGGGCCCACATAATGATTTGTGCAGTAGCTGTAGAGACGAGGAAGAGGAGGAGACAGTGGAACACCTGCTCTGCTCCTGCCCAGCTCTCAGCAGAAGAAGGCTACAACACTGGGGCTGAGCCTTTCTAAATGACATATCGGAGATATCTAAACTATGTCCCAGGAAGATCGCTAACTTTGTGAGAGCATCAGGATGTGATAATTGCTGACAGAAAGTCTCACAACGCAGGAAGGGAAAATAACCTAAGCGGTATCACAACGGGCCGAAACCAGCCTAAGTGGGACGGGCTCCGAGCGAATATCTTTGAATTAGATATCTCCGTTGTTATGTTTTAATTTTGTATTTTATTGTTCGATGTTTTTTATGCACAAAGCTAAAAGGTATGGTTGTGAACTCCGAGTAGTATTTCAAACTGTACATAAAGCAATGCGAAACGATGCTGCGCTCGATGGAAATTCTAACAGGAATGCGAGACTACCTTTTTGATGACGATGTGGACTAGCACAAGAAATGCTGGAATTGAATATAAGCAGTAAGAAAATTACAAATGTGTGTGAGTGTATGCACTGAGATCGTAATTAGGATGAGCGCGATAATCACCAATTTAAGAGAATCTGGCTACAGGATATAAGACGAGATTATTGAAATGTCTTAAGAGCTTGAAAGACCAGGGCCTTTAACAGGATCCTTAACGGGAAGGGCTAGTGGTTCCAGGTGGGGTCCGCGTTCGAATGCACTCAAGAAAGCCGCAGTTGTAAGGTTTTTCACCGATTCCAACCACACGGTTTTTTTTGCAAAACAAATGAGTACATGCAACAGATGTAACATTTCATATACTGGCTTAGAATAGAAGGGAACACATTTGTCATTTGCAGTGACTCTGAATGCAAGCGAATGCTGTACTCGATCGTTCGGTGGTTCAGCCATGATGTATTCAACAAAACAAGTTATGGATCGGCAGCAGATGACACATTTCCAGAAGGCGCGAGCAACAGTTTTCATGCCGCCGTTGGGCCAAAACTGTAAGCGAAACGCTCCAAGTAGCGACTGGGGTCCAGCATGGTGATAATAGTGCGTAATGATGTCGAACAGCAATGGATCATCTCGGCATCGAAGCCAAGCGTTGAGTGCCGCAGGCGATCACCAACACGAACTAGACCAAACTCATCTTTGAAGGGCGAGACCAGGATGATACAGCTGGAAGACTCTACGCAGTTTCCTTTCCACAGAGCAAGGTACTCAGTGTAGAGGTTGGCTTGTTGAACGATGCGACATAACAAATGCAATCCTTTGCGAAGGTCTTCAGATGAGAGATCTGGTGACTTCGTTCTAATGATGAACTTCTGTGTGTGTGAAACAACTTGGCTTGAATGTCAAACACGACTCTCAGCGTTGTTGTGGAGATGTCCTCTTTGATGACGCAATGATGTGGAAAGAAATATTTGCACTTGTGCCCAGCTTTCTTGAGCATAAGAGACATATGATCGAAGGATAGGTACTCCCTCCTTCATAAATGCTAAATATTTTTTATAACGAACTGGATTACGCACACACTTGTGCTCCAAATATTCCAAGCACCGCTTAGCTTGGAAGTATGAATCGCCCAAGGACTCCAAACTTCGCTTCATAGGCAAGCGAACAGAATATTTCCCGATAGGAAAGAGAGTGTGAAGATCGACGAAGTGTTTCTCGCAGTTAAGCTTCTACTTAACGGCTCCACTTTCCAAAATTGACCAACCTACCATGACATTGGAATATTTTAAAAGGAAGAAGGTTTATTAAACACCAATTATTGAGATTCAATTGAAGAAATAACGGGTCTCGGGTTGACTATAGGAAAAACAAAGCTTAACTCGGGAAGAGGTTAAGACTTGGGGAAGATCATTAATAAACAAATTGAACAACAAAGGACTAAGGGGTACCCCCTGAGGTACCCCAGACGAAACAAAACAGTTGCGAGAGATCAATTAAGCAGACACGCTGAGAACAATTGCACATATAGGTATTAATCCACACAAGTAGTTTAGTTGGAAACCCCAGACGAAATAGTTTATATATTTTATATATTTGCAGACACTTACCAGCAACAGAATTTCCCCTATTAGAAGGGTCGTGATACGAGTCAATACCACAAATCATCACGCTTTTAAACGGAATTTTTACCGTCCATAAAGAACCTCCCATCTTACAGTTCATTTGTAACAGTATTTTTTGAACAACTGATCGATTTTTTGTTTCATTACATAAAGTCTTTGCATTTATAACCTGCAATTATTAATAAATAAAATGGTATATTAAATATAAATTAATATTTATTGTCTATTTATTTACTCGGTGAGATATAAACTGAAGCTACAGAGGAAGGGGACAGTGGTAGCTACTATAGTTTTTGGATAATAAATTAATACATATCGGATCCTCTATGATAAAGTATACATATGCGGTCAAAATAATAGTAGCGATACTATGCTCTCCATATATTCAAGCAGACTCCGGTTTCAGAACGGAAAAATTTTCGTCGCCGAAACGAAAAGTAAACAGCTTTAAATGCAATAAAACGAATCTTAGTTAAAAAACAAAAGAATATATGTATGACTTATTGATGCATTAAGTTAAGTTTGACACCAATTTAGCTTATTTTTTCTTTACAAAAAATTGTTTATTACCAAACCTCAAATTTGGCTCTAAATTAATTTGTCAAAGCAACAACACTTTGCGTTTTTACAGATGTCGCAGCCCGATTCGTCGGTCGTAACCAATAACTATCGGAATTTTTGGGAATAAAAGCGCAAGTGTCGCGTCAAATTCAGTTTGTGCTCGTTACATACGAAATTATGCGTATAACAGAACAGCTGGGTAAGGACAGCTGTTTCCGGTCATTAAAAAATTAAATATAAAAAATTAACTTTGAGGTTTAAAGACCAAATCATTACTGCTAGTCTCTCCTTTTGGTTTCGTTGTAACACTTACGAAATAACTACTCTTAAGCCGCAAGGAATAGATGTAATAAATCCGCCAATGGAGGCGCTAATGTATACGCCAAAATAGCGCCGATGTTTTGTGGGGGGCCAACAACGTGCATGGAGAAATAAAAGGATTAAGTTCAGAACGTCGATACGATGCGCACGTGAAAAAAAAGACTTTTGCCCAGGCCCGTAACATCACGCACACGTAATTACAGAGCGCTCGGCCAAGATTGCAGTGGACTCTAACTTCACGTCGGAACACATCACAGTCCAGGTTCAACAGGAACTGGAATTCCTGTGTGTAAAACTGATTCTTCTCGCTTTCGCTATATTCATTACTTGCTCGTATATTCCACCTTCTAGGGATATCTCTATTTATAAGCAGCACTTGTCCGCTTTAACCGCTGTTTTTTAACTTTAATCATATGATAGTTCTTGGTGACTTTAACTTACCAGGAACTGTTTCGTCTTCGGTAAACGAGTCGAGAAGATTTGTATCGGATCCGACCTTAATGTTGCTAACCCGATCCCTCGGTCGAGTAGGCTAACTGAACGTGTCCATTGCTTTCGTAAAGCCGAGTTTGCGAAGCTTAATAAACTCATTAGGGATTTTGACTGGTCAGCTTTGTATTTGTGTAGTGATGTCATAAAAGGCACAAACATTTTGTACAATGCACTTGGCACATTTTTTAATTCTTAGGTCCCGCTTTCTTGACCGATTAGATCTGGAAAACCCCCTTGGTTTACCAAAGAGTTATCCAGTCTAAAAACTTAAAATCAAGACTTTATAACAAATTTCAAGAAATTGATTCTCCTACTTCTCACTCGCTGTGTAATAGCTCGGTCAAACTTTTCAGTTCTTAATGCTCAATCCTATAAGAACTACCTATCTCGATGCAGAATACGTTTTTCTCAGGACTCTAAACATTTTTACAGCTTCGTAAACAGGAAGCGTAGAACGTCCACACACCCATTCTCGCTATCTTTTTGTAATACGTCGGGAAAAAATGATCAGGCGATCTTTTTGCTCAATTTTTCCTAACCACATATTCTGAGGAAAGCTACTCTGGTCATCCGTACCCATACGGTTTACCGGGGTCGAACGGCATTTTTAGTCATTGTTATATGAATGCTCTTTACTCCATGATCTTCGACTAGTTATGCCGGTGTTTTCACCGGGTCCAGGCGGGGTTCCAGGTTGTGTACTCAGGTACTGCACCGAGGTTCTATGTGGACCATTGCTTAAACTATTCACCCTGTCCATCGATTCTTCTTGCTTCCCTCCGATCTGGAAGGAATCGTTTATAATTCCTCTCTATAAAAAAGGTAGCAAGTCTGACGCAAAAAATTATAGAGGCATAGCAAAGTTATCCTCTATACCCAAAATGTTTGAGAAGGTTTTAACTCCGCACTTCCAACATCTCTGAAAGTCACTTATATCTCCAACTCAGCGTGGATTTATAAGTCGGCGTTCAACCACCACGAACTCTTTAGAATTTACCTCTTCCATTATTAAAGGCTTTTAAGGTAACTTACAGACAGATTTTATTTACACAGACTTTAGTAAAGCATTCGACTCTGTAAACGATTCCCATTTAGCGCATATACTTTTAGGGTTTCCGCCCAACCTCCTGAGATGGATTTCTAGCTATCTTTGTTCCAGGTCTTAACGAATCCTCTTCAAAAACTCCCTCTCTCCACCAGTAAAGCTTTCTTCGGAAGTACCACAGGGTAGCCACCTAGGACCCTTAATGTTAACACTCTTTATTAATGTCTCGCCTTCGGATAATGTTAAGCTCTGTGTCCAGTATGAGGACATTTCAGTTCATTCTCGCTGGCAATCCGATCTCAATAACTTTCAGTCATGGTGTTGTGCAAACTTGTTACACCTTAATGCCTCGAAATGCAAAGTTATGACATTTCATCGTTCTATCCCTTTGTTGGCTCCCTACACCCTATTTGGGGGTTCTCTTGAGAGAATTACCCTGGTGGATGATCTGGGTGTTATGTTAGACCCCAAGTTAAAGTTTTCCGAACACATTTCTACCATGGTAAATAAGGCCATGGGCGTGCTTGGGTTTATAAAGAGGTGGTCAAAGGAATTTGACGACCCCTATATAACAAAGACTCTCTATACCTCGCTTGTTCGTCCGATCTTAGAATACGGCTCCTGTGTATGGTGCCCTCAGTACAAAGTACACCAGGACCGTATAGAATCAGTACAGAAAAACTTTTTACTCTTTGCTCTGCGGGGCCTCAACTGGGATGCGGGTGTAAGACTCCCATCTTACTCTAGTAGACTATTATTAGTAAACCTCCCATCCTTAGTTAACCGTAGAAAAAAGCTTGGTGTGATATTTATGCACAACTTGATCAGGGGTGACATAGACAGCCCCGGCCAAAATTTGGTGGAGCAAATGGTGTCAAATTGAGTTGGGGAGATGCTTATCTTAAACGACGCTATCTCCCTGGCATAAGAGAAGTTAAATTTCTCCACCTTTAAACCCACGGCTTTTATTTTGCTTTGAATGAAAGCAGTTAAATCATGAGGTGAGGTCAGGGGCCAGCCGTGAAACAAAAACTTGTCGTTTTGGTGGGACTCCCACCAGTGGTTTAGTCACCACAGGTCTAGTACCTGTGGTGGCAATATCCGGAGGTCCGGAACGTCTATTTACTGGTGGGATCGGGATAGACGGGACAACTAGCGAACTTGCGGACGTGCTGCAGACGTACTTGGCTGCACATTCTCCGAGGCGATGAATTCGGCTACCGAATCTGCATCGCCAGCAGCTGTCGTTGCCCTTGGAGTGGCAAACGAGATCAACTGCTGCACCCTTGGAGTGGTCGGAGTCAGTTTTTCGGCGGCGCACGGCTGAGTGACGGTTGGCACTTGCAGGTCCCACGGAGTGACCTTTTTGCGCCTCGGAGACTCATTCAGCAGATTTAAACCGCTAAACTGAGCCTCCATGGCTAGGAGCCGATCGTATTGGTTTTTGAAACCAACGGTCAGCTCCTTAAAGCCACTCCGCGTCTGCCTCATGAAAGCCACCATGTCTTTCTCCACCGCACGGCATGCCTTGCAACTGTAATGCAAGCCATTACGTTTGGCTATAGCATCACTCACGAGGCCAGAAAATCCAGCGCATTTTGCGTGCACTACGCTGTCGCAGAGCCAGCAGGGGACATTCGGCTGATCGTGGGTGATCTGCTTCTTACAGCTTTTTTTGGCACAGACCACAGCGTATTCCATTTTATTATTTATTTATTTACTATTATTTGCAAAACAAATTGCTATCAGACCAATGTGCCAGACAACGCTCAAAGCGGAATTGGTAAAAAAAAGAGAGCAGAGTGGAGAGCGGTTATAGCGAGAGCTACTAAGCAGAGAGCGCTATTGCTCAGAAAGTTTAAAGAGCGAGAGAGAAAGAACAGTTATTGAAGTTGAGGTGATAGCGAGAGAGTGATAAGACAACAAAAGCTACCAGACGAGAGCGGACTGCACTGCAATACTCACTCACTGCAACAACACAACACAACACTAGTAGACTGCTATTAGTAAGCCTCCCATCCTTAGTTAACCGTAGAAAAATGCTTGGTGTGATATTTATGCACAACTTGATCAGGGGTGACATAGACAGCCCTGATCTGTTGAGCCGCAAAAACTTCACGATTCCTATTAGATTCCCTAGAAATTTTATACCGTTGTACCTTCCACTTTGTAGATCTAATTATTCCTGGCATGAACCGTTTAGTCTTAAGCACGGATTATAATTCCCTTTAATTCCCACCACTAATTCTCTTCCTCTTATTAAATTATTAATCCTTACACACCTTTCTAGTAATTAGTAATTGTACTGGTATTTGTATTTTGTATGCATGCATAGTTCTCTTAGTAATTTTAGTGCCAATTTTCCTCGAACATTAGTCTAATAGCTATCTTTTCTGCAGGCTCGCGTAACAGCCTTCTGCTGGTTTCAGACGCAGTAATTGCATCGCCTCTTGCAAAATGCAGTTATTAGATGTAAACGAGGGGAAACGTTGTGAGTTGCTGCGGATACCGCAACTCTACATTTATACCCGATACTTAGTCAGTATGGCTCTCCTCCGGCAGACGCCGCTAATATTAAACGACACGACAAAGAGTGCGTGCGAGAGAGACAGAAAATCAGTCTGAGCGTGACGTCGGGTGCTGCGTAGCTACTGCGAATTGATTTGTTGCTTTTGGCTATACAAATGATCCGATCTGATCCAGATTCAGCAATCTGATAGATATGGATATTATGTATGATTCTGCGTTTT